ACATACTATACCATGACTTTTTTTCATGATTTTGGACGACATACTATACTATGACTTTTTTTTGTGATTTTGGACGACATACTATACTATGACTTTTTTTCATGATTTTGGATGACATACTATACTATGACTTTTTTGTGATTTTGGATGACATACTATACTATGACTTTTTTCATGATTTTGGATGATATACTATACTATGACTTTTTTCATGATTTTGGACAAAATAATATACTATGACTTTTTTTCATGATTTTGGACGACATACTATACTATGACTTTTTTTGTGATTTTGGACAGCATAATATACTATGACTTTTTTTCATCATTTTGGACAACATACTATACTATGACTTCTTTTCATGGTTTTGGACAACATAATATACTATGACTTTTTTTTCATCATTTTGGATGATATACTATACTATGACTTTTTTTCATCATTTTGCACGACATACTATGACTTTTTTCCATGATTTTGGACAACATACTATAGAATGACTTTTTTTCATGATTTTGGACGACATACTATACTATGACTTTTTTTTCATGATGTCGGACAATACAGTATACCATGACTTTTTTTTCATCATTTTGGACGACATACTATGACTGTTTTTCATCATTTTGGACGACATACTACACTATGACTCTTTTTCATGGTTTTGGACGACATACTTTACTTTCACTTTTTGCTGAAAATTTGCTAAAATTTTGATTTGCTTACACTCATGACTTTTCAATGAATATTTCATAAATGTGTTGATTCTTATCCTGTCATTGTCAGTAATGTTGTTTTATCAACCCACAACAATATGAAACAAAACACTGGCCATGTAAACGGTTAAAAGCTTTCTCGTCACCTCAAGGAACTTCAGTTCGTTAAGGAAAAATAAGCTGAACTGTGTCTTTTTTAACATGGCATGATTATTTTCTGACCAGTCCAATTGTATATCAGTATGAATTCTCAGATTGAAAACCAGATTTATTTCACTGCCAGAATCTTACCTCATCTGTCCTCACCCTAGGGAAGTTCTACAACATTGGAGATCAGACGGGGCATGGTGAGGACCATTGTCAATTTGTGGACTCCTTCCTGGATGGAAGGACTGGCACCCAGATGTTAGCTGACCAGCTACCCAGCAGGCTAGGTATTTGAGTCAACTATAACCATTATTCATATCAAGTCAAGTTATGTTGACTCTTAAACATTCCTCTGTGTCTTTATAACAGGATATTATAGAGCGTTGAGACAGGAACCTGTCCACTTTGGAGAGATTGGAGGGAAGTCACATGTCACTTATGTAGGCTGGTACGAGTGTGGCACACCTATACCTGGGAAGTGGTAAGACCTCACAGAGCTGTCCAGGAAGGATGACTTCCTTGGTAGAGAGAAAAAGGAAGAAGACGCCTGTCTAAGCCTGAAGGGAGGTGGGCCTTTCTTTCATGTTACCATGGACACTGTAGATTGGTCTGTCTGTTTGAACTCAGCCTACTCTCGCAGGTATGAACCTGCACAGGACTATTAGGTGTCACAAAACTCTATCGAGTGCATTTGTAACATTGGTCTTAATTTCTCTATTTATCAAAATGCATTCAGTGAAGGAATGCAGGAGTCTGCGTGAACCAAAATGTTGAATATACAGTAATTACAGAGAAAATGTTGGGAAGCTGGCTCCCAAAGTGTAATAACTTGTATGATATTATTTATCAGAGGGGATCTTTATTGAATATTCTGTGTGTGCTCGGACTTTTGAGATGAGAAAGTAAAAATTGTTCCCAAATCATGCATGTCAGTGAGCACACACTCTGGTCATCTGTATACAGAAAGGGGCCAATCATACTTTCATTGTACATTTGGACCATGTAAAATACAAGTAAGCACAGACATGCAGAACTGACCCTCTGCTGGCCCTAAGGGATTATTAGCAGTTGCAGTTTGCACAGTATTAAACTTTTGTTCATATATGTATATGGTGTGAAATACAGTATGTATACCAGGGATCATATAGTTTGATGCATTTCAGGTAAAACAGCTTAAGCAAAATTGTTGATCTATTGTAAGAAAGCCAAAAGCTTGAACTCATCATTTCTATGGGGTCACTTGGAAAGATTTATGTATTTTTTAATGCTAGTGCAGTCATGTCCTGTATTTTATAAAAGAATAAAATATATATAAAAATGCTTCGATGTGGAAAAGACATAAGCAAATGACATAATTTATGTTTTTGTGTTCAAACTTACTACAAAGTGTACATAAAGCTATAAATCATTGGAGAGAAATTGTAAGGTTTTTTCCACATCTGTCATGACTACGGTTGTTTTTGATGCACCATGTATGTTTTCAGCAATAAATCTTGTTTTTATATTTACGGATATTCATTTTCATCTGACTTCAATGACTTGTATTGTAAAGGTAAAGTTAGACATTTAGGGCAGTGGTTCCCAACTGATGGGTCGCGGGTCCTTTCTAAATGGATCGACTCACGAACATGTCAAGTTTGTAAAAAATACACTTTATTTTGAAGTACACTGAATTTCTGGCACAGAGCTTTTACTTTTAGATGGCGTTTCCTGCTGTAGAGTGAGCAACGAACGGATGGCTGTCCGTTTGTCACTCACTTGTGTCGTCACTCGTGTGCCATTTAGAAAGGACCCGCAACCCATCTTTGGACTGCGACCCAACCAGTTGGAAACCGCAAACTTAATTGCAATTACAAACTATTCAGCCCAGCATGCTGGGAAATGTGGGCGTTGCTACAATATCAAACTGTGTGGACCTTGAACTAATGACTAAGGAGAAATCTGAACCCTGTGGCTGGACTAGTTGGGAACCACTGATTTAGGTGATCTCATTTATTCACGTTCTTGCTGAGAGCTAGATGAGACGACTGAAGAGCACTCTGTGGTTACTGTTAGCAGCCGGCTAACTTAGCTTAGCACAAAGACTGGAATCGGGGAGAAAGCTAGCCTGGCTCTATCAGGCTACCTCTAAAGCCTACTAATTAACATGTTTTATGTTGTTAGTATAATTTATGGAAGCACAATGCATTTACCTAAGATAAAAAAATATCTGCTCTTGTTTTGCAGAGATTATAGTCTCATTAATTCAGGAAAATGGGCATGTTTTTTTCGTAATTGTGACATAAGCAATCAGAAGAAGTAGCGTCGCAGATAACCCCACCATAAAATGGTGAATTGACGTTTTTACACTTTGGTTGTAGCACAGATTAAACAAACAAGATGTAAAGTGGTAATTAGGGAAGCTATTACGCTGATCAAATTTCCCAAAACGTCAAACTATGCCTTTAAGGGATGATGCATTGTCAGAGGGAGACATAAGCTGATCAGATTTAACAAATTCCTAACACTGTAACTGTATTAACATTGGACAAACGCATCTGAAGAGAATGATCTCAGTTTGGCACAGACGAAGTGAAGAGCAACGCTAAACACACTTCTCTAAATTATCTTTAATAAACCCTGTGCGCTCAATTCCTCTCACTCAACGAGACAGTTTGACATGAAATACCAACCGCACACTCCCTTGCCACGTCCCCGCCAACCACAACCCACAGGCAGGAAAAACAAAATAGAAATACCAGCATTACTACAGTTTTCCAAATCTGGGTGGAGGGAGAAGAGGAAGAGAGAAGCCAAACTTAACAAGAGACATGAACTCAGAAACCACAAAGTGCGATGGAGTGTTAAGAGAAAGACGGCAAGACAACGTGTGCGCCAGGAGGAACACAGAACCAAAACAAAACGAAGGACTCCGACTGGGTCTTAATCATTTATTAGGTTCAAGAAAAAAAATGTTACAGTTTATACATGAACAACTAATCTCACTTGAGGGTGGAGTTGATTTATTAGTAAAAACCAGTGATAAGAGAAAGATAAAGAGAGGAATAGCAAGCCTTACTGGAGATGATATAATTAGCTAAACAAAAGAAGTCTTCTTCATGACACTGGGATCTACACCTCCCATAAGCCATCACTTAGCTAGTGTTCCCAACACGGAGCAGTTTCATTGACACATCATTAATACCGACACGGTGGTGAAATTGATCAAATCAAGAAAACGACAAAACAAAACGACAAAGGGGGGTAACTTTTCATTAAGGTAGTGTCTTATTAATGCATCCAGACATAGTACACTCAACACAAGCGGCTGAGATGTTTGTCATCGACACACAAATGCAGAATGCAGATGCTGATCTCACTCGCAAAATGAAGCGTTACCAGGAAAAGAACAAACAGTTTGTGCAACAGCCTGTTTTGGTCTCCCAGGTGTGTGCATACAGACTGGTTACATTTTACAGACACGAGAGGGCAGAGCAGACAGAGGTGGAGGTGACTGAAGAAGAGAAATAACACAAGGAGAATACACCAGGGTCAGGGCAGAGTGGTGTGTTGAAGAGACAGCATACAAACACTAACCATCAGACTGGGGGGGGGGGTTTGCTTGTTTCATATCTGGATTTGATATTTGTACTGGGGGGATGCAGAGCAGTAAACCATGTTTCCTGCACCTCTCCAAACAGTTGGAGACACACACGGGAGGGGGGGGGGGGGGGGGTCAGTAATATCCGCTATCCTCTTTTACCGGTACCCAGGGCCTGGCTGAGTGTAGCCCTGACCGTAAGGGGGGCGGTTACGGGCATACGGGTTAGCAGCTCCTGGTGGAGGGGTGACAGTGTTGCCTGGAGGCGGGGTGTATCCTGGGCGGGGTTGGTACCCTGAGGCGGGCTGGGAGCTGGGTGGCAGGCTGTAGTTTGCAGGCTGGGAGGCCTGGGAGGTATAGTTTTGGGGGTTGAAGGCTCCTGGTGGATACTGCTGGGCTCCCTGAGATGGATGGGGCTGCTGCTGGCCACCCTGGAAGCCTGGAGCTGGAGCTGGACCGGAGGCTGGAGCCTGGGAGGAGGGAGGAGCGTAGTTCTGAAACTGCTGCTGCGGCTGAGGCTGTGGTGGGCCAGGCTGAGGGGCTCCGGGCTGAGAGCTGTATCCTGCAGAGACAGAGGAGGGAAAGAGCGTATTTAATTCATGCTAGAGATGAAAAAGAGCACCTTATTTCACAGCACAGCAGCTACCTTTTGTCTTGTCAAACCCTGACCATTTTAAATCTTACCAGAGTACTGCATACCGTACTGCTGCTGCTGAGGTGGGGCACCTGGCTGCTGTGGCGGGTATCCACCTGGAGCCTGGTACTGCTGATACACCTGACCTGAAGAGAGAGAGAGAGAGACAAGAACTGTCAGCACGTATCAGTACACAGATAGAACCAAGACTAGAAGTATTGTCTTGTGATTGTATTGTATGCCTCCACGCTGCAGTAACAGTTTACATCAATGTCTGTCCAGGCTCATATGTTGCCATCACAGCAGACAATGCTTCAAACATGAATGTTGCCGCAAAGCTACACATTCTAAAACATGGATGCTTCACACACGTCATAATTAGTGTATGAATTCTTGAATTTTGACCAAAAAACATGTTTTGTGAGGTCACAGTAACCTTGACCTTTGACCATCAAATTCCAATCAGTTCATGACTGAGTCCAAGTGGACACTGACGCCAAATTTGAAGAAATTCCCTCAAGGTGTTCTTGAGATATTGCATTCATTTTCATGAGAATGAAACAGATGAAGTAACAGTGACCTTGACTTTGACCTCTAAAATTGAATCAGTTCATCGTTGAGTCCAAGTGGACGTTTGTGCCAATATTTGACAAAAATTTCCTCAAGGTGTTCCTGAGATATTGCGCTCATGAGAATGGGATGGGCAGACAATGCCAAAACGTAATGCCTCTGGCTGCGGCTATCGCTGGTGCAGAGGCATGGAAAAAAGAAGGATCTTTTTATTTTATTTTTTATTTACTTAACCTCTAACCAGGAAGTCCCATTGAGACTATAAATCTCTTTTACAAGTGAGGTAACAGCCAATAAGAGCACATTTAAAATGCAAGAAATACAAAATATAATACAAAAATCCACAATAAAACAACAGCTAATCAAACACAGTGGCCTCTCAAGAAAAACAAGCACACATCTGTCACCACATTCTGTATGATGCCCTTAAATTCATCAATGGATATAAAAAGCAACCACTTGGATAAGCGTAGCTGGTAACTACCAGAGCTGACACACAGAAGGGTGCAGAGGTAGGCTGGAAGTTTGCCCAGTATTGCTTTACAGATAAAAATATACCAGTGCTGTTGTCTGTGAGTGGTCAGTGATGTCCAACCCACCAAATCATAAAGAATGCAGTGATGAATGAGTGACTTTGTTTGTGACAGTGTGACAGTGACAGTGTTTTTTCATCAGGTATCAAATTTGATCTATTTGTAATCAGAACTGATCGGCAGGCTGGTCTACCTTGATAAGCAGCCTGCTGTCAAGGCTCTTACATAAACCACGTATTTTTGTAGTTACAGTTGGGAGGAATGAGATTGTGTATACGTCTTGGAGAGACAGTTGTATTTATACCCTCTTAACATCTGTCTTGAGTTCAATGGGATGGTAAATTCATCTTCACGAATGCGTCTTGGTTGCATTTACAGCTTTTCTTGCCATCAGACAGCGATCTGTGATGCATGAAGTAAGTAAGTGTAAATGGGGTCTCTGTATCTTCAAGGAAACACCTGTGCATCTGGACAGAATAACACACGACTGCTTCAGTAAAAACAGCTGCAACCGCTTTGATACAACTATTTGTAGCTAAAAGCCCAGTACCCACAGATGTCTCTCTCTGTGGGACTTTACAGTAAAATTTGCCTTCGAGCTAGAGAACAGCAGGCAGGTGCCCGGGTAGACACAAACACACATATACACAAAGTTAAGGATCAAAACTGAGGTTGCCATATGTGTTGACTATCAAGGTACTATAGGCGCACAGACACAGACAAGGAGGAGTCGTCCTCTGCACCACCAGACATGTCTTTATTTGCAGACAGCGACTTCCTGCTGCACTTTTATTAACAATGACTTCACCAGTCCACACTACATACGTGCACATGTGTAGGATGGACACCACTATCTCGACAGCTCCGGTCGTCTCGGTGTCGTGCCTTAAAAGGCCTTTTTATATCAAAAGACACCTGCAGCATCTTAATACTTATTAACATGTTTGAAAAGCATGACAAGTAATCAGTAGTATCTTTCTTGACAGTGATGCTGTCGCACATCTTTTCTACATCTGAAAAACATGGAAACTATTTTTCCTTGTTATTCTAAATTTGCTCATCAAGTTTTCCATTGAACGCCTGACTGTTCGGCAGAAAAGCAAAGACTTGGCAAACTGGTGTTCTCCCTTAACAAGGCCCAAATTTTTCTCCCAAATCTCCTGCCTGGCATATAAATCGGTGTGACGACACATAAAAAATACACAAAGAGAGAGGGCATAATGAAAAAGGGCCACACCAGGGTTCACTGGTTTTTCAAGCGCTGGTAAAACTGTGCTGATTTTCCACTCTTTGGGAGGGCTGACATAACACTTTACAATCCTTGAGAGTCTCAACAAAGCGAAGCTGAAAAGAGACTCCTATCAAATTATGTACTGTCAGGGAAATTTAATGCACATAGAAGTAACCCTGTTTTTTTGTATCCAATAATTCAAAACATTCAAAAGCCCTTTTTACACAGAAAATGTGCAAGAGAGCCGCTATGGAGTCCCTTCATAATGCCTCCTTTGCATTTTTACACCCAGTCAATCAACAGTGGCATAATGCTGCTCCAGTGTGTGATTTTAGAGCGTGCTGGCATTGTGGATAAAATGTAACACGACATCATCGGCCTGTAGTGTGACATATAACATATGCATCAACGGCGCTTTCTAAACAGTAACGATGGATGGTATAATATGGGAATAACAACCATTTCCCATTGCTGTTACATGATGGTTGATCTCATCCTCCATTCAAAGGGTAAGGAGCTTATGGACACTTTCAGCTGCTGTTGTTTTTCTTTGAATTAGCTGCTAACTGCTGCTAGCTGCTTTTTAAATCTCCCAGTGATGGGTCGCACACCTAGCATCTCGTCAAAAAGTCACACCCATCCTGTCCTGCCTTCTGTCCTTTTTACACGTGCGTTGATTCGGCACTGTTACTGCCTCCGCTGCCAACTTAACCCTTAGAAACCTTGACGTCACTTTTCTTCAGAAGCCTTTCACAAGTATTTAAACCACTGAACACTGAGCAAATGGATTTGATTTCTGTGCAACACATGGAGAAAAAGGCAATGAGCAAATTGCAAGAAATCAGTAGATTAGGAAAATTATCAAAAATAAGATATATTTATCATTATCACGAAAATGCACTGAAAATTATATTACAGAATGTTTTTTTTTTAACTTTTTTTATTCAAATCATTTCATTATTTATTTGTGTTTTTGTACTGTTCCTTTTTTATTTTTATTTATTTAATAAATTTAATTAATTTTCTTGTACTTTTTACTAATTTTTTGCTAATTTTTGGGTCATCTCTTCTCAAGTTTATTTCCATGTTCTTGAAAGAAATGAAGCCAATTTGTTCAGGTTTCAAAGGGTTAAAGGTGAAAAGACTCTGTTCCCCCATTCCGAGACCGTACTTTACATCTAAAAAAGCGAGGTGGAATATTGGCGTGACATTACGGCCTACAACAGGCAGTGTAAAATGGCCGAAAGAAGCACAGTAACCACTGAATTATTGTCCTGAAGAAAACTGTCTTTGCAGCTGAAGCTCAATGAATCAGCAGTCAGAAAACAAGTCATATTAGTTGCATTGGTAGACACTTGACAACTAAATATTTAGCTTGAAACAATGTACCTCTTCAGTGTCTTTTTATAAGCACTGTAGTGATGTGGCAACCATCTGTTATCTCACTGACAGCACCTTTAACATGAACATCACGGTCTTCATTGTATGAGAAGGCATGTGTGTTAAATTGGCATCTCCTCCTGTTCTCCCCGGTCTGTAATCCATCAGGGGTGTTATATAAGAATGATGGAAGGATGTGGCGCCGTCAGACCCTTTGGCCTGGGGAGTTCATTTCACTCCGGTGTAACCAAGAGGTCAGCTACGAGCCTGCTGAGCGCTCACGGGACAAAGAAATGACTGGAGGCTCACTAAAGACAGAGCTGCAGTGCTTCAGCAGAAAACCCCAAGTTGGGAAAATTATGTTCACTGGAACAAAGATGCAGTTGGCTGTAGTTCTGCTGCAGTCTAAGCATGCCTCAAGATGGAGTCATGAGAACAAGGTCCTATTTTTAAATAAACATATCACACCAAACGCATGTCTGCCCATCTGATTAAGAGCCTCGAGCAAATATGTGAGCAGTTGCTGCAAACACGTGTTTACAGTTTCTCTCTGTCTTGCACAGATGTTAATTATTGCCAAGGGTCTGTCAGCATCTGACAGACAACAGGTTGAAATCTGTACCATCTGCTTATGGATCTTGTTAGCAGCATTCTTATGGTACCAAGTAAAGTGGGCTTGCACTGAAATGTGAGCTTAAGGCTAGCTTTAAAAGGCCACACATGCTCAGTTGGCATCCAATCTCATGTATTGCCTTTTATAAATTCTCGTGCATTGACTGGCTGTTCTGATTTGCCTCGAGGCTGTCATACTGACAAACAGTCTGCAGCCAGAGAAGGCAATAATGTGAGGAAAGGGTTGAGTGAGAGAGGAGGCTGGGCAGGATCTAGTTCACTGTCTGTGTGTGCCAACCATCTGCAGAATTGGAAGTCAGAAAAGAGACGAAGAAGGGAAACTGTAAGGAATGGATGGACTGTCCGTTGCCACATCAGGTTTCGAGATGTATCGAATGACCTGCTACAGGATTACAAGACGGTATCTAGCAAGAGCTGCCAATGTGTGTGATCACAAAACTTCACTGATCTCAGTGGGGAAATTACGTTTTTTGCCTGCATAGTGAGGTCAAAGTGCAGCTTCAGGTCAGGAAAGCTGCAACCCCCCAAACACATACATTTGTACATCAATTACTCATCCTGTGTTACATTGAACTCGTAAAGAAAACTTTGTATTTCCTGCTTGCCTCTGGTGAATCAAGAAGGCAAAAACAGATAAAATTCTTGGTGAACTGAAGTTATAGGGGTCTGTGTTTTATTGAGTAATCTGAACTCTCGCTCTCAAACAACAAAGTCACACAATTACACAAACAAACTAACTGAAGGAGGCAGTGAAAGACCAGCAGCTCCTATCAAGTCAAAATTACTTTGTGTCAATGGA